CACAGAGTCTCCCAGCAGATCTCGTGATCTAGACGTGGGCGTCAGGAGGCCCCCATCCATCCATTCGGCTGACTTACAGCGTATAGCGACACCGTCCCAGGACAGAGGGGCTCCAAGCCAGAGAAGCAGCCTTGTGTGAGGAACGGGGCCCGGTCAGAGTCAGCGCTGACTCGAATTTTGTGGGAAGGTGGATGTCATAAGTCCTCACCTTCTCCAGCCTTGACTGGAACTAGAAAAATACTGTGCCTCCCTCAATCCTTGCCAGCCTTTGAGATTCTGATTGGTCATATAGGCAATTTGCGTAATGGAGACCGTGCCCACGGGGATGGCTGGCAACAGTGATCGTGGTCCCTCGCCACTTGATGGGCTTCAAGACCCGTCCAAGCTGCAGGGTCTGGGCAAATCTCAGACATGCCAGGGGGCACAAGGCCCAGTGAGGGAGGTAGAACAGGTTTTCTAGCAGCGACGCGAACGTGCCAGGTGTCAATGTGAGTGGGGAGCAGGTTGCCGTCCCGCAGGGCCTGCCTCCCAGACGCCCTCGCTGAGCGGGGCCTTGAGCAGGACACACAGGTCGCGAGTGGCAGGTGCACATGTGGGATCGTCACGGTGTCCGCCAACGTTTTCCTCGAGGACTCTTTCACTGATGCCTAACGCTGGCTTTGTCTCTCATGCTACTAGCAGAATCCTGGGTCACCACATCCACACCTGAAACATCACCACCAGGGACAACAGGTGGACAATTTGATCCACTCTCCCAGGGGCTCTCTCTGTTTCTGAGAACAGGCACGGTTGGAGCGTGTGTGCAGAGACCTTTGGGGTTGTCCTTCCTTATCCTGGGCCCTGTTCAGGGGTAGAGGAAGGGCATTTGTAGGGCTGTGACCACCCTGTGACGGGCCCCTAGGCATGGGCTCAGCAGGGATCCCCATCCACTGATTGGGACAAGACCCGCAACCAGGCATGTCTAGCTGAGACCTCGCTCTTGTCTGAGGCCACGCACACCTGCCTGGAAACAGGGTGTTTAAGTGTCTGTAGAGTAGATTCTGGCCACGTCCGCGTCCCCTTCTGGAGCTCAGCCAGAGCCTACCAGAATGAAGTTGGAGCCTCCAAGCCGTACTAGCGGGTACGTTGTGGCTTGGCCTGGAGCTGTGGGCTCTACCCTGAATGTGCCCCGTGTGGTGGGGGTGGCTGTCCTGCTCACCTCCCCCGGGGTCACGAGGCGCTTTCCGACACTGCAGCACCCTCAGATTGGACAGCAGGGACGTGTGAGCTCCTTTCCCTGAGATGACGATTGACCTGTGGGCATGGCCACGGCTGGTTTCCTGGCCAGGGCATCGTGGCCGTGAGGCAGGGCCGTGGGTCTGGGACAGGCCTCTGGTCGGTGAGTTTAAGACAGACAGGTAGGAGGTGTCCTTTTGCCCCCTCTAGACATCGGGTCAGAATCACCTTTGTCCCTGAGGCTGGTGAACGGAGGTGACCGGTGTCAGGGCCGGGTGGAGGTCCTGTACCGAGGCTCCTGGGGCACCGTGTGTGACGACGACTGGGACACCAACGACGCCAACGTGGTGTGCAGGCAGCTGGGCTGTGGCTGGGCCAGGTCGGCCCCAGGAAGTGCGCGGTTTGGTCAGGGCTCAGGGCCGATTGTCCTGGACGACGTGCGCTGCTCAGGACAGGAGTCCTACCTGTGGAGCTGCCCGCACAGAGGCTGGAACTCACACAACTGTCACCACGGGGCGGACGCCGGCATCTTCTGCTCAGTTCTGTCCTAAGGCACTGGGCTCATGTTCCTTACGGTTTCCTTTTAGTAAAATCTCCTCGTTGAACTAGGGTCTCTCACCTGAGGTCCCCTGGAAGACTGGCGTTTTCCCTTATGTATCACCAATAACCATTCGTGTCCTGAGTTTCATGATTGTCTAAGTACTGTCTGTGCAGATACGGCCTATTGTCCATTAAGTTGGTGAGAATCAATCCTTGAATCCTACTCCTGACGTTTACATTCACTGTTCACCTCCCGGACCGCTTCCCGAAAGCATGGTCAGGGCCTCGGATATTCCGTCACTCAGCATCTACCTCTCAGGACCCTGAGCGTTTTCTTCCAGCGCATCCTGGGCACTGAGGCTGACCATTTTCCTTTTTCTTTCTTGCAGATTCACTCATCGGGGTCACCACCCCAGGTGAGTCCCTCTAGCCAATGATCCTCTCTGTAATCCCTCCCTCTCCTGTTTCCTGCCGCAGGAGAGGCTCCTTCTGGGGAGTGATTTTTCTTTGGGGACTCCGGAGTTTGTTAGATTGACCAGCTGAGTCGCCCTCACTTCGCTCAGCCTGGAGAGCCCCCCGACCCTGCCATCGCCACCGCGGACACTCATTCCAAGAGGATGGGGTGGAGCGTTTTCGGTCCTCTGGTCATTTCAGATGCAAATAACTGTCCCAGTCGACCCACGGAGAATTGTGACTGTTTTAGAAACATGGCCAAGTAAAACCCCTACCAGTGTTGATCTGCAAGAAAATTCCTCCGTTTGGGGAGTGTAATACCCAAAGCGTTCTTCGTGTCATAATGAAAATATTCTGTCCCAAATACGTTGGGAAGCGCTACTCTCTGCCTCTTGTTGGCCATTCGCAGTGTAAATCGGAATGGTCAAGGCTCTGAGAAGTCCTGTACTAAGGAAAAGGATTTAACTTTATCAAACTAAAGGAGTTAAAAAATTATCTGGTAAAATCCTAAAATCACTTCGTTTTCTTCCCAGATTGGTGGTACACATCACCTACGACCATGGAAGGTGAATATCAGGTGTTTCCACCTGGCCCAACAGGCCTGAGTTTCTTATCCCCGGGCTTGGCCGTCCACGGTGTGGCTGCCTCAAGGGCACAGCCTGTCTCAACCTGCACACGCACATGCACACACACACCTGTACACACACCACACCCTGCACCCCCGTGCACACGCACAGCCCACATCTACCTGGAGCACATGCAAGCTTCACATTGCCCCCGCTAATTAAATGGCTTTTGTTTTAACGAAGGACCTCCCCTCCCTTGTCTTTTAAGTAAAAGTGATAAGTGATACTTCAAAGAATAGATTTAAAGGCTTTTATTTCTTGGAGTGTCTTCAAAGCTTTGGGAGGAATAAGGGAGGCAATAACTAGATAATTTCACAAATAATCAAGCTTTTACATGCAAATTTTACTTGATGATAGAGATACAGTTCAGTAGCTTTCCAGTGCTCTTACAAAATTACTCTTACTGTCATTTTAAATGCCTTCGTCGTATTCCATTGTACAACTACGCCCACAAATTATTTAACTAGTCCCCAATTGCTGGACATTTCAATAATTTATATTTCTTCATTATTATAAATGATCTCGTGATGAAGAATATTTTTATAAATAAATCTTTGCAAACCTCATTTTTTACTTCAGAACAGAAATAGATTCACAGGACTCAAGTTAACCTAGTGCCTGGGACCCAGAATTTACTTATTACAGACTAACTCCTCTGATGTTAAGTATTTCAGGATCTTTGCTACGTATTTGGCCATGTCACCGTCACGAATGTTTGTCAAATTACAAAATTATGAAAAAGAGAAACCGACCTCCTCTCTCAGGGAGCTAGCTCCCAGGAGGAAATATTTAATACAGAATTAATGATATAATTGTAGTTGTCCCAAAGGGAGTTGTAGGGTCTCAAAGGGAAAGATCGGTGTGCGAAGAGGCCACGTGAGCAGCTTTTACTCGACAGAGGGATTATGGGAAGTTTTCTATGAAGCGATGCTCACACGGAGGCTTACGAGAGAAGCGGGCTCATTTGCTCAGTCTGGGTCTGGAGCCAAAGCTTTGGGCCCATCATGC